TTACAGTTTATGGTTTTATTGTTGCTGTGAGCCAACCAGAGTTGTGTTTTAGGATGGGAAGCCATACAAATCTTTTAAATAAATAGGTTGTTTAAAAAATTAAATAAACTTATTTTTTGTCCCAGCTCTAAGCATACTTTTTTTTTTTTTTGGACACATTGTCCCAGCACATGTTGCAAAAACCATTTGCTATCCTTGACTGAGAAAAATCTGTTTTAACTTGTCAGGTTACAATACTAACTTGAAGTCAGAGAAATTTCAGCCAGGGGTTATGATTTTATGTGATTCAAGGATATACTACAGCAAAACATATATTTTCATGGAACATATTAAGCCAAAATTAAAGGAATATTGCTTCCTAGGTAAAAGAGAGAGGGAGGGAGGAAGGGAGGAAGGGAGGGAAATCCTTCTGGAAATATTTAAGTTATTTAAGTTCACTTGTCTTTTTCTTAGCACACAGGTAGAGATGGTGCATGTTGGCTTGAAAAAATGAAATATCGTTCCAGATCTGATTTAAACCCACAAATATTATGTCTCCTTATCACTCACCTCCTTGCATCACAGGAAGTGCAGTCATTCCAGATAATTATAATTAGTGGGTATTTCCATTTCAGAAATAGCTTATAAAAGCTCTGTGTACCTTACTCCTTGAAACAGAAGACTCCTGAAGACTGAGAAACTTTCATCATGTATAAATTACATCCAACAATGGAAAGCTTCAGAGTATTGGGGAAAATGGAAACAAGTGAGAAAAGAAGCCTTTTTATTGGGACATAATTGTGTTCTAGAGGAAATCAAGATATTCAGGGATAAAAGTATATTTCTATTATAGTCAGCATAAAACAACAAAAGAGCTGGAAATTCTTACACTATTTTCAAAGTATCTTTACTTTTAGATTATTTGTCAAGTATGTTTCTTAATAGGATAAAGTGAAATTTTAGATCTTCCAAAGAATGCTGCATTCTTTTGTGTATTATCATTTCAACAAGGATAACTCGATCTTTTAAGTCTATGGCAACATAGAAAAAAGAATAGGAAGGTTCTGTATGATTTATCACTACACGTTTCCTACATTTCCAATGTTTGGCCTTCGCCCAACAAATATGACTATTAAGGGAACATACTAGATTTGGCCAACTCCCAGATCATGCTGATAATTTTGTATTGGTATTTTATTTATGCACATGGGTAACTTATTATATTCTTTAGCTGCAACTCTAATATAGAAATTCTAAGAAGTAATTTTCACAGTGTCATGGCAACAGGAGTAAATGGAAAAGATCAGCAGGTAAAATTCTTTTTATTTCTGAATCAAACCCCAAGCATCAATGCCATTACATTTTTAGGAAGGGTACTATTATTCCTTATAATCAATCCTGCCTTTTTGCACAAAATTCTTTCAGTCTATATTTTTGGAAGCAGGTATGGCTGTTTTGTTTTGTTTTAGATTTTTTTATCCCACCTTTATTAATTTTATAAATAACTCAAGGCTGCAAACATACCTAATACTCCATCCTCCTCTCATTTTCCCCACAACAACAACCCTGTGAGGTGAGTTGGTCTGAGAGAGAGGGACTGGCCCAAAGTCACCCAACCGGCTTTCATGTCTAAGGCAGGACTAGAACTCTCTGCACAAACTGGTTGTTCCTACACAATTAGCCCCTATCACTGCAAATTTCACCACATTCTGCCCCAAACCAGCTAAGTAGCAGACACTATTTAAAACCCCAGGTTTTAAAGCAATGCATCTCCAAATCAAAGTACCAGTTTCTACAGAATGTGGTGTATTTTACCTGCTCATAAAGGCATAGTGTTCCTGAAAATTTCATCCTATTCTGAAACAAATTAAAACACTTTGCATTTTCCTCTTGCAAGACTATGGAGTTGTTTTTCAGATTCTCAATCCTGATTTAGGCATTGAATCACACTGAACTATTTCTGGAGTGATGCCCATCAGATTGGTCTGTTTCAAAAAGACTATGCTTCCTTGGTGAAACGCTCATCCCACATCCACATGTAAGTTTGCGTGCTCCATGGCCAGGCTTTTCTAACTGCAGGGATCATCTGAAAAGACTTTTAATGCAATCTCCAAGACTGCGGCCATTTCATTACACAATGTGGCCTATTACTGTTTTGGCCCTATGCTTCAATGGCCATGTATCTTTTGTAGCTTCAAATAATCTCTGTTTAAAAATACAGTAAGTTTAAGAATAACTTGTTCTCAAGCAATCTCTCAGGGAAGATAAAGCACCTACAAAAGTAAATGTTGGTTATAGCAAGCACAGAAATCCCAAAGGGGAGCAACAAGACAAATGAAAAGACTGAAACGACAATTTCAGACTGGCAGAGCCACATATTTACAGTTCCCTCAGCTTAAGGGAAGGTGGACTATCTGTGCTGTTTCCATGACTGTTGTAGGTGATGGGCCTGAATCAGCTTTGTCCGAGGAAATGATGTAAGTTTGGGTCCAGCAGATCATGTTCCTGCCCTTACAACATTAATACCAACAAGGGGTAGCACCACACTCAACAGCAGGAAATATCAATCCATTTTTTGTTCAGAGAGACTAATGCTCCTATCTCTCACTTTCAATACATTCTACTAATTGTGGTTTGGAAGAAAGAAAGCAAGTAGAATTTTACCTCAGGGAGTTTTGAGATGGGAAATGCAAATTGGCCTTATGTTAAATCGGTTTATCATATACTCTGTGCTAGTAATCAACTTCAGAATCTTGCTTTTCATATTTAAAACAATTTAATACAAGTTTTACCTAAATGTAAATCTCACTGTTTAGCAGCTTCCTGCTGAAACTCTTCCTAGAAATTATCCCCAGGATTGCAGCTTGTCTGCAGCATAAATAATTTTGCTTTTACACTTAACAGCAATTGGGAACTGTGCCACGCTAGATTTCCCACTATGTATTTTATTTATTCATTTAAAAAATAAAGCAGATTTTCCTCATAAAAGAATTAAATATAATGTATGTACAATGCAGTATCTCATTTGCACAAATTTCCAGTTTGCTTCTAGAACTCCCACTATGAAACTGGCTACCAAGTAACTTTATTTATTATCATTAGTCCAGTAACTACAGAATACATTCTCTTCAATATAAAGTAGACATTTTTGCAGGTCCTATTTGGAAATGCCAAATAAACAATCTGTTAACTGATGAAGTGTGGTCAAAAGACTGAAGAAGATACCTCCATCTTGCCTTCCAAGCATTTAACCAGCTATTCTGAACCAGCTATTCTGAACAGCTTTATACTAGCTGTTTGCATCTCATCTAGTAGCTGAAATTCCCAGGACCAAAACATAGTTTTTGGTGCATCTCTGATATACTCAAAATTTTCTCCTTCAAGATCATAGCATTGAAGAGGTTACCTAGGTACATACATTAGTCCTCGAGTTACAACTATTTGAAGTTACAGCGGCTCTGAACAAATGGCACTTACACCCGCTCCCCAAAGTTACAGCCGTTGCAGCACCCCTGCGGTCATGTGATCAAAATTAGGGCACTTGGCAGCCCGCCTGCACCTACGACTGCAGGGGCAATACAACTCCCCCCATCCGCCTATCTCTCCCCCCATTTCTGCCCTCTTGGCTGCCCTGCACAGCAGCACTCCTTGGCTTCTGAGACCTTTTGAAGCATCACAAGAATGGGGCACACTATTCGAAGAACTGCACAGGTGGCCTCGGGAAGAAGTCCTGCCACGGCCAGCAGCTGCCTCTCATAGGGCAAGGCTGGGTGTGCCTTGTCAGCAGTGGAAGATGGCGCAGATCAGCTGAGTGTGGCCTGGAGAGTGCAGGGTGGCAGGGGTGGCTGGAGCTTTGCACTGTGGTGCTGGGGTGCTGACCATGGCATGGGGCTTGAGGTAGCACTCCTTGGTGGTGGGAGCAGTGCTGGGGCTAAAGTTGAGGCTCAGGGGAGTAGTGGCTGGCTGAGACCACTGAAGGCCCTAAGCCTCTACTTCAGCCCCAGTGCTGCCACCGCTGCCACTGAGGAGTGCTGCTGTGCAGGGCAACCAAAAAGGCAGAGATGTGGGGGAGATAGGCTGGTGGGGGGGGAGTTCAAGAGGAGGCAGAGGAGGCAGTCCCCTACCTTACCAGGGCTCGGGGCTGGGAGAGACCAAACCGGAAATGGCTTAGATCGGGATGGGTCCTTGCCTAACAACTGGTGGGATTCATTTAACGATGGCCAACAGGGAGTGCTGGGATTGCTGTCGCTAAATGATGTGGCCATGTGATGTTTTGCCTAACAATTGCATTGCTTAGTGACAAAAAAATCCAGTCCCAATTACCGTCGTAACTTGAGGACTACCTGTTTTGGCTAAAGTTGTACACAAAATTAGGCTATATACCGTACGCCATAGTATCTTCTCTAATTTTTCTTAGATATTTTAGAATTTTTGTTTGTTTCTCTTTTTTTATCGTAATTATCTGTGATTCTTTTTTTTTTATTTGCTGGTCTATGACCAAATAAAAATTGGTTGACTGATTGACTATCTGTAATGAAATGTCATGAAAAAATAAATTCAGAGAACACCAACAACCCAACACAATTTTTTCAGTCTGGACTTAATGATAATAATTTATTAAATGTATATGCCATCTGACTCCCAGAGACTCTAGACTTCTCATAGCATATATCCTAATAACCTATCATTGTCATGTGAGGAAAAGATAACCACAGAACCTCATCAGGACTTGAGCCATATATTGCCCCAATTTATTGTACTGACATTTTTGTTCATATACCTGGCTATATATACAACAATTCCAGCTAATTTAAGTTCTTTAATGGAGGGGCTATGGACTGACTTTTCTATGAAAATCATATTTTCTGACTACAGCCTTTTCTATTTATAAATTAAGTTCAAATTTGTCTTTGTTCTAATGGTTATATTTAACCTTATGGTTAATTGAGAAAGCAAAAGACTGCCCTTTCCTAAATTCATAATGCAAACTACAACGTTTAGGGCACCAAGGAATAACTTACCAGTGTAGTCTTCATAACATTCACAAGTATAGCCTCCCTCTCGACTTCGACAAAGGCCATTGTTTCCACATGGATTAGAGTAGCAGAGGTCAATCTCTGTTTCACAATAGTCACCAGTAAACCCAGGGGGGCAGCGACACCTCAACCCATTGATAGGGTGTATGGGTCGGAAAAGTACAGTATTTGAACTAATAAATGGAGCGGAGCTGTCAAATTTCAGTACAGATACACACTTCATGTAGTTTTCACAAGGTTCCCGCAGACAAATGTTATCATCAAAAGGCAATACTCGTTGAGTAGATATCAATGTGAGGAGCGTCCGGTTGAGGTATATCTGCTCTTGAAGGTCTTCAGAGGGGAAGAATTTGTTTCGAATGCCACCAGGAAGTAAGGCAGAAAATGTCACATTCAGAATATTGGAGCTAACATCCGTGTCATTTTGAATGTTGAAGACAAAAATGCCCTCCTTAGTGGTTGATAGTACAGTAGCCACGCCTTCCACGAAGAGAGCCAGCAGAGGGGACAAAAACCTCTCTTGGGACATGTTTTCCAATCGTACCGTGATACTGTTGGTAAGCATGTCATCGGTGATGATTGTAACCCGTAAGGTGCAAAGTGCCGTAACACTGTGAATACCATCTAAAGGGAAAGAGAGAGAAGAATCAGACCATCTCAGAAATCTTTTCATGCATTTTCCCAAGACATCCTACAATACAGGATTGTTAAATGAGGTAATGTACAAAGGAAGTAAACAGAGCGCTTACTAACTTATAAAATCATTAGGCTGCTCCATATTGAAAAGAGTGTACAAACGTCAATCATACATTGCAGTTTATCTATTAAAAAAAACACTTGATATAGAGAAAATGAAGTGGTACAAATTATTATTTCATATGCAAAAGAGGAAAAAGGTAAAAACACAAATCTCATAACACTCATATATTCATCATATTAAATTTAAGTCAGTGTGTTTAATAATATGAAAAAATGAGAAATTAAATAAATTACTACAGATAGTCTAAATTTCTAAATAAAGCCTCAACAATAAAAAGTAGTTCAAATATAGAAAGACAGTACATTCTTCAGACCATTGTATAACTGACAGAGAATGAGGATCCCTCTAACCTTGGAGTATCCATTTTTTGCTATCATGAATGAATGAAATATTCTTCTCCATTAACCCCATTAATTTCCAAAACATTCTTTGGAAAAGAACATAGGCATTTAGAAAAATCAATGAATTTTCCAAAGCAAATAAATATATGAAACAGTGTTTAAACAAAACAGGGCCACTCTAGCACAGGACCATGTAAACCTAAAAGCCCTGACAATTCTGTTTGTCAACAGATAGAAAGAGGCATGGTTCTTGTCCTGAACTCAAAACAGATATTTGGTTTGACGATGAAGAATTACGCTTTTTCCTGCTTGTTCTCCAATACACTACACCAGTCCACCATTTTTGCCACCTGTTCCTGCCCCCAATTTCTGTCATTCTCTTTTTAAAAGCCTGGCTCTCTTTTCTCTGCTGATATTACACCACACAGAAGGAAAGTATTTTATATCCTCTCCAGGGATGCTTTACAGAACCAAAAATAAGAACAACCATTCTTTACTTGACTGTGTCCCCTGCAAAATATGTGGATGCAAATTTAAGCTTCAGTGTCAATTCTTTCCCCAAGGACATCTGAGAGTTGAATTTGCATGTGGTAGGAAATGGTTGGCAACATTCAGTCAGCAACTTGGGCCTCAGGATTTCTGGGAAGTGAATGAAGGGAGATTCTGGAACACAGTAAAATGGGGATGCAAGCGGAAACAAAAGCAGTTCAACTAATGAGGTACAGTGGGAGGCACCCCACTACCACCTCAACTGTTGATTGCCTTCTGTGTGGCTTTTTTGAAGGGAGGAGAGAGCTCCCTTGTCTTTGGCATCTACCTAAAATATTAAGTGATTCTTTTCCAAGCACAATTCTCAAAGTTCTATTCAGCAACATTTATTGAGATGAATGGAATGGGAGGTACAAATTCCAGCAACTGAATTATTGTATTATATCCCATGCATGTTACAGTGCATATGACACATTTTTTTCTAAGTGCCTTCCTATGACAGGTCTCCTCACTAATAAGGAGAGACTTGTTGCTAGCTGTTTACAAAGAAGTCTTCTGAATTTCTAAACTCTCAAAGGTAACCATGCATCCTATTTATTTTTAATTTATGGGAGCAGTGATGTCATGATGAAAGGGGTGTTTATGAAAAATGCTATTGGAACAGGATTTGGAGGTTGGAATTAATGGGTGGATAAAAAATAATTCAGGTGATCTGAGATGTTATAAATTAACTGAATGGTTCAGATGGCACGCTGGTTTGCCTTTCCTGATATGTATATTCTAATTATTATTTCTGAACAGAATGCACTGATCTATGTCCTCTCTTTTAGTGGTACAAATCCTCATTTTTAGAGAGACGTAAGTTACGTGAGAAATGAGGAAGCTCCCCACAGTAGGGGGATGTAAAACTTTCTGAGTGTGAAACAGACATTTTGAATGTTCTGTTCCCAAGTTTTGAAGTTTTGTTCCATTTTTTACTGTTCCATGATAGACTTGTTCTTTTAAAAAACCATAGAACTGATAAAAAGAGCAGGCAACATTTCCATTCTGCTGTCATTAGCTTTGCTAATTAGTTTGCACAGAATAGGAAGGTTGCAATATAAGCCATGAAGCTCTTACTTTCTACTGCACAACAATCAAATTATCTGCTTTAGCAGAAGGCTTAATTTCAAGGAACTAGAACTGCAAGAGAGAATCCAGATGTTTCAGAGAAGTCCTCACCAATAGTACAATTATTACTAATTAACAAAGGAATGCTAAGCAGGATCGAGGGGCATTGAGGGTGCTCACTGCTTTGAAATCCCTCCCAATTGACACTATCTAGGATTGCACAAACTGTGATTTCACCTTTTTCACCTCTTTGCAAGTGTTTTTCCATGAGTTTCTTTCCTATTGATTCTTCAAGGTAGCACATGGCCCTGATCCTGTGACATATGAGAAACTGAGGAATCTTCACTATATTTATTATGCCTGCCAGAGCATTTCTTTTGGGAGAAGAGTTGACAGAATACAATTCTAGAAATAGAAACTTTCCCATCAAAAATAGAGAAGTAGTGAATGCAGTTATTTCTTGTCAGACATACAAATGGAGACTAATACATCAAGCAGGGAAGTGAAAAGTAGTAAGTGAATCAGAATTTCATGTCTAAAAACAAAGACTACTTAGGTTTTTCATTGCTTTATCTCAGCATTAGTAATCCAAGAGGTTTCTGGCAATTTCCATACCTATCTATTTTAAATCCCAATGTTTCAATGGACATACTTATTTTTAAATTGTTTTGTGATTTTTATTGCATTGTCTCTGGATGTTCTTAATTGTCTTAAATTCTATAGTGGAAAGTGAAATACAAGTTAACCCAATACATTAAATAAATAAGCAATCTTGATTTTGATCATAACTATTGCTTTTCTTATTACATTTCCAACATGCAAAAACAGAAGACAAAAATTTATAACCATTGGTAAATTTGTAAACTGATTGATCCATTGTAATGTGGAAATACATAATGCCTCAGAAACAATATGCTTGAGTATGCTTTTTACTTGAGTAAAAAAAATGCATCTACTTCTCCTTAAATGCAATTAGAATGAAAAATGGTTTATTTGTGGCAGCAAATTGTTTTTAAAATTGAAAGCTGAGTATCTTCAGAAAAGAAGCACTGCAGGCTAAAATAGGAACAGGGAATATTAAACATTTATTACTCGTTAGTGATAGGCCTATTCAGAAGATCCTAGAAGTGGCTTGTCGAGAAGTAATCAATAGTGTCTTTCACATCTTTTGTGAAGAGACATTGATCATTTTGAAATGTGATTATTAAACGTGATGCATAGTTGGAATTCTTTAAAGTATTCTGTAGCTGCTTACAGACTGCAGAAAGCAGGGCAGTCAAACAGCTTGTGTCTTTATGGAATTGCTTCCTTATTTGTACTCTATAGATTGAAGACTGCAATCTCCACCCCCAATTTTATTTAGAAAGTAAAATTCTCACTACAATTAGCACTGTCTACCTAGATGCTAAAAGAGATCAGTGACATTTTCTGAGAAAAAATTAGGCAAGTAAAGTCCGTTCTCTTGAAGAGCTGGCTAATGCAAGCAGCTTCCTATTCCCTCCTCCAAAATATTCTCATTCAGTTTACAACACTGAAATAATAATGCACACCATATTTAGATTAATTAGAAGTTTAAAACACAGGAACTTCAACCAAAATAAAGATTGTACCACATAAGGCCAAATCAAAATCTGATTCTGTGATGTGGGTTTGTTTTAATGGAGAGAGAAATACAGGGTAGCATTTTGGTAAGCAAAATTTCAAAGCAGAATTTAAAAAGAGAGGGCAGAAAAAATACAGAAATTGCTGACTTTCAAATGCTATATTTAGTAACCTATTCCAATGTTACATTAAGTAAAGGAAATACTGAAGCTTAATTTAAGAAAGTCATATAATTCTGATTCATGTGAAATACAGAAAACCCTGAGGGTTTGATCTTGCTAAATTTAACTATTTTTGAGTTTTACTGATTTCAGGGACAGAAAACATATCCCTGAATGCAAAGTAGATAGAAGAGAAATATAAAAAATGCAGTATACACCATAATGAACCAGTTTGGTGTAGCGGTTAAGGCATCAGGCTAGAAACCAGGAGACCGTGAATTCTATTCCTGCCTTGGGCATGAAGTCAGCTGGGTGACTTTGGACCAGTTTTTCTCCCTCAGCCCTAGGAAGAAGGCAGTGGCAAACCACTGCTGGAAAACTTGCCAAGAAAACTGCAGGGACAAGTCCAGGCAGTCACCAGGAGTCAAAACTGACTCAAAGGCGCGCACACACACGTGCGTGCACACACACACACACACACACCCATAATATATACCAAAGTTCCAAAGAACTAACTCTATGGTATATTGCAGTGCAACTATTAAGAGTCTTGAAGTCCATGAGAGCTTACATAAATAAGAATAAAATTACTAGTTTTTTAAAGTACTACTGTCAGCCCTGTGAGGTAGTCCAGACAAGAAGCACACCCAGAAGTACTAGCTTTAACTGTATTATAAGGATACACTAATAGGATCTTGCAAGTCTGAAAGTACATCTTTCCCCCCTCACCTTTACAATCCAAGAAACTAGGGAGGGTCCCTTCTGAGACTTTTGCCAGGCCCCCATTCCTTCTCAGCTGCCTCTAATCTGACCATTCCCCGACTGCAGCTCTTCCTCCTGTCTCTCAAGGGCATTCCCACAAAGCATTACAACTACAGAAAACGCTGATAAATGTTTCTAAACCTTGAAATCTGCCTTTATTATTTTCTTGTACTCGCTGACCTGTTTGCAATATCCACATCCAGAAAGCAAGGACAGCATGCATGATCTTTATGGTCTTGTACTTTACATTTTTAATTTACCTATATACCATTCAAAGAATTCTGATGTGTCATTTAAATGTGACATAAATAAATAAATATTCTTAAACTACAAAACTGCCCGTTAGTAAGTTCAATTCAAAATCCTGAGGGATCTGTAGGATTTTCCAGCGAGGAGGTT